CATCGGCGTCTAATTATTGTTATTAGTCCGCTGTTGTACTATGGTCCTCATCATCATTATAAGTACTATCAAAACAGGAGGATGGGCTGAATAATCACACACACTCATATTAATAAGCTTCAGTAAAGATCAAACCAACCCAAGACTGGTTACACCGGGTGAATCCTGGAGGTAATCAAGTTAAAATCTTAATACTATGCCATACAATTATGTGAACTTAGAATATAAATGACAGACCTACCATAAATTATATGTAAGCTAAGCTCATGACCATTCAACACAGTTTTGCTATCTATACCTTGACTCTGAAGAATTTCATTCCCATCAAGAGTGATGTAATGCTTTGTGTTGTGACTGACGATGCTTCTCTTGCACGTAGCTCCTTTAGTTCTGCCATAAAGCGTCGGCGCACAGACTGAAAGCGTGACTGAGCCAAAACCCCAATAACTTCAGCATATAAATCAGCAATAATGTTGATGTTTTCACCATTAGGATTGTTCTGAACACTGAAAAAAAAATATTTGTATTAATATATAGTACATTATAATACAGTATAATGAAATGATCATAACTTAATAGTATTTACTACACATTAAAACACATGATGCTACTGGTGTACATGTATTCAATATATTTCACATCTACAATGTTTGATAATCCTCCATCGTGCTTATATGTACATAATTAAGAGAATACAATATAATATATATTTAGTGTGAGTATCATAACCAGTTAGATTACAGTAGTAACAAGGGTGAAGAAAAACTCTTTAAATAAAGAGCTTGGGATTGCCATCCAATTACACATCTGTAAGAGGCTACTCCACACCTGTGGAAGGTAGTGAAGTCTGAATCCCTCGTGCTGTAGCAGCCCCACTCCCACAGGACGGATAAACCCACTGGCCATTACCTGCGACTCCCAGCTACTATAGTTATCTAGACTTGTATTGCCACTAGAATTAAATTACACAGAACCTCCTTTCAGACCTTTCTACGTTTTTAATTTCCAGTTCATTAGTGTTTTAACTTAAGTGTTACTGTTTAAAATGAAAGTCAATAGCTCAGAATCCACTTACATATATTATTTAAGTTTTTCTGAACTTTCACTAACAGCTTTTTGAAGAGAGACATTTTAACCTAACCCAGGGCTTATTGCACCATATTAGTCGGGTAAACTGACTTTTGGTCACTCTTGGATACACTGCATGTCTTACACACTTCCTCAGCAAGTAAACAACACAAACAAGCCCAGCAGCAAAATGCAAGTCTTCCTCAGGGCTCTTGTAAACAGACACCATTTAAAAAAAAAAAAAGTGGGCAACATTCCTGGGTGTGACGGCCTCAGTACTGAGTGAGCAACCAAGGCTGGTGCACGCAGCATGAGCTCACAGCACTGCTATTCAGCTTGTAATCACAGCACCTCCTAAAAATGTAAAAAACCAGCGTTGAATGTAATGAAACACCATTTTCTGGGTGAGACCCGGAGGCTCCCTGGAGCTATCCAGGCTGATATTGCTAATGTCAGACTTTGGCATCAGTCATGTGTATGGAGTTCTTTAGGCCTACCGGGGGACCATGAGCCAGAACCTGGCCCCCCTCAGAGAGGCACGAGGAGCAATGGCCTATCGAAACCCGTGTGGTTGGAAGCATTCTATTTCTGCCATCGACCAGGTCAGGCACCCAGAAAGGTAAGCATCCCAAAACAAATCCCTATTCTGGTTAAGAAATTGCTACTGAGAGCCAAACTAGTGGACAGAACTCCCAAAATAAAAACGAGCTAATGAGTATGACGTCGCTGCGCCGCCATCTGTGCAGCTCCCCCCTCCCCGGCAGGGGGAAGGGGAAGCCCCAGACCCCCCTCGTGCCGGCTACTCAAGAGTGCCGGGCCTTTGTCTGGGGTGCTGTCCTTGGCGGCTAGGGCGTCGGCTGCACTGTTGAAGCTCTTTGTGCTTATCCTGAAGGAGGAGGTTTCTCTGTTCTTTGCTTCTCGCCTCGCGTGCCATCACATCGAGTGAGGGTTCGGGTTGGCTCCAAGGCCATTTCTCGGCTGGGGATTTGTGACCAGTGCTCACCAGGCCGGCCAGGGACAGTGGGGTCCATCCTTTCAGCGGGCTCACAGTACTGTGACTTCCACGGCAATCTGGTTTTTGCTTCGGAGGGTTTGGGTCGCTCGGGATTCAACTGTCTGGCTCCATTCAGACTGTTCCTTGGTGGCTTATTGCCTGAATCGCAGGGGTTCTCTTTGGTCCTGGCCTCTTGGGGCTGGTCGCTTCGAGTGACTCGTCTGCTGGCTTTTCAGAAACTTTGGCTCTCCGTGCAGTTCATACCCTGGGAGTGTCCAACATCCAGATGGACAGCCTGTCTCGGTTCATTTTTCTGTCCACGGAATGGACAGTCGACTCTTTTCGTTGGGTCTGCCAGATATATGGACACTCGGAAGTGGACCTCTTCGCGTCAGTGTGGTCTCAGCTTCTCCCAGCCTATGTGGCACCCTTTCCCACCTACAAGGCTGTCGCAGTGGACGCCTTTCAGCAGGACTGGTCGATGTGGGGTTACCTGTACCTCTTCCCCCCAGTTGGTCCAGCTGTTGCTTCAGGTTCTGGCTTGATTGGAGTCCTACCTAGGAAGAGTGGTACTTGTGGCCCCTTGGTGGCCGACCCAGCCTTGGTTTCAGGCGCTGCTTGCTCGGTGTGCGAACCCGGGGCGTTTCCTGTGGCTCCGCCTCTTTTAGCAGGTCAGACCGGTTCGATACGTGGCTGGTCCTGACTTCTCCTCTGCTCTTTGCATCTGGTCTTTTTGATGCGGGTTTATCACCATCTGTATGGTGATCAGGTGGCTTCCTTGATGGTGTCCCACCCGAGATCTTCGTCTCGGCGATAGTATGAAGTTTCCTGGCGTTCTTTTTGCCATTTTCTCTCTCTTCATAGGTTGTCTTGTCCTTTCTTTTTTGTTTTTTTTTCAGGACTCATTTGATGTCTAATACTGTCGCCTCTTATCGTGCGGTGCTGGCAAAGCCACTCCAGCTTGCGTTCGGGGTGGACGTCTCCTCTTCCCCGTTCCAAAAGCTTTCTCATGATTTGTTTCACCTCCAGCCTGCTCATGTGCCACCTGAGCCATCCTGGTTCTTGAACAGAATGCTTTCCTATCTTTCCTCTCCTCGATTTGTGGTGGCCCTTTTGGTTCAGTATTGTTTTTCCAAGGCTCTATTTTTTTTGGCATTGGCCTCTGGGTGTCGGGTCGGGAGCTTCATGCTCTCCTCCAGCGCAGGAGGAGGGCTTCTGCTCTTTTGGTCCTGGTGGTAGGTGGAGGGGGACCTTGGGTCATTGATGCTTGGTTGGTCAGGCCAGGGGTGCATCATGTGTCGTGTCCGGTTGCAGCTCTCCATTGTTACCTGCTCGCTTTTGGCTGCGGTGGCTGGGGATGCGCTTTGGGTTGATCCGGTTTCCCTCGTTCCCTGTTCCAGGGCTCAGGTCTCCCATTTTGTTCTCATGGTTATTCGGTCTAGCCAGCCTGCGGTCTATCCTTGTGCCCATGACATTAAAAAGTTTGTTGCTTTGGCTGTTGACCAAACCACACTAGAAACTGAACGAATGACAACAAAATTTTGGTCCGTCCTGGACCATTCTCAAGTCGATTATGGCTGCCGTGTTTGAGAACATGTCTTGGGCTGATATACGGGCACGGGGATTTTGGTGGTTGAACAGGGTCCTGGCAGCCCATTATTTGGTGAACTGCCTGATCCTGAGCATTCCAGTGTTGCTTTGGGTCGCAGGTTGAAGCTGGTTGTGTCGACTTCGTGTTGAGGAATTTGTGGCAGCTGCCTCTTGGGTAAGTCCCTCTTTTTCCTTCTCATTGGGTATGTAGCTCCAGGAAGCCGTAGGGGCTTCCCCACAGAAAACCAGCATTGAATATAATGAAATGCAATTTTCTTTGCGAGCCCTGGAGGCTTCCTGGCAACCATCCCTCCCTCCCGTCAGCATTTTTTTTGCATTGTTTTGATACTTAGCCTTTGAACTGAAGGCCTGAGTAGCCGGCATGGGAGATCCAGGGCCCCCCTCCCCCCACTCCCTCTCTCGGGGAGGGGAGGGCTGCGCGGACGCAACCTGTCCTCTTAAACAGAATGTCGCTTTTGGCCGTTTGCACGTATGGCCGAATATGGACGTAATTTGAAAATTAAAAAAAAAATGAAAATAAATTTGGGATTTTTTTTTCAACAGCAGTAAGTTAAGGGTCCTCTGATAGGTTAGATGGGCAGGAAATTCTGATAAAGTTTCAAAACGGTATGAAAAACGTTAATGGAAAGTTTACTTTCCTAAGCTTGCCGAGTAAGGTGGATGACTCAAACAGAAAACAGAACAGTACGTCACTTTCGCGAGTCAATTTCATTTCAAATTACGTCCAAATTTGGCCATAGCGCGCATACGAGCCAAAAGTAACGTTATTTTTAAGAGGACAGGTTGGTGGACGAGCGGTGTGGCAGTAGAGTGTGACGTTTGCTTGTTTCCTTGGGGTTGGAGAGAGTTCTAACTCTCTTTTTCGTTTTTTTGTTGTTAGTTTCTTACCATAGTTTCTAACACTTTATAGTTCAAAATAAATAAAGCCAAACTTAATTATTCCTAGGCCTAGCATAACACCTATAAGTACTATATTAGGCCTCAGATAGCATGTATTAGGCCTAGGAGAGTTAGTTTTGGCTAAGTTTTCTTTGCAACATCAGTACAAAAACTGTTTTGGTTTGCCCAATTTCAATAGTACCAATTTCTACTTTTGAATTGCCTTTTACATCACTATATATGATAGTCCTAGTTGTAACCATAAGTACTACCTAAACCGGAGGATGGGCTGGTCCAGAAGGCTCGCTCACACATGGGACATATAGGCGTAGGTGCTGCTGCAGTGGTGGAGGTTGCTCTAGCTTCGAGCACAGCAGGTTTCCTCTGGATCACTGTAGTCCGTGTATTCTCTGCTGCACGGGCCTCTGTGATGACTTTGCTTCACCAAGTTGGCCGGTCCTGAGCAAGCGATTCTCAAATGCTGGGGATGATGTCCAGGTCTTTGAGGGTCACCCTCTGATACCACAGGAATTGTGATTATCAGAAAGAAAGGATAGGGAGACGAGATAATTGACTCCATGACAAGTCAAGGTGCAACATGACTCGAGATCATGGATATCACTGTCAATCATGTTGTAAATGTAGGAGCTAGAATGTGGAGGAGACAGCTGCCCAAAACCGAGATACACTCAAGGGTGCTTGGGAAACTATGTCCAAGAGGAAGGATCACCTGATCGCCTGAAACACCCGAGAATCTTTAATCCAAGAACTCTGAAAGATTTGTGGACATTCCCCCGCTACAACACCATTGGGTACCACAATGAAAGAGGCGACATACAAGGCACTAATTATACAAGTCACAAAGCAAATTGTATGAGAATAGATAAATCCAATGCATTGAAACTTATCTCAAAGGGAAATGCATCCCAAAACCATAACTGGTCTCTGCAAAGCACAGGAAGTGACTGGTTAGTCACTTGGCAGAAAGTGAGATGATTGCTCCCTCCAAGACTGTTTACTATGTAGCAAGTATATTATGTAAGTAATATACTTATTCCATATTCTCATTAGCTTATGTGTAAATAATGAGATGGGTCTGTTAATTCTACATAACCAATCTCTTATCACATTCCTAGAAGTTCTATGCTAATTTTTGGTCCACTAATTACAATTCCCGAGTATACAACTAATTACAGTTAATTCCTCATCCCAACCTGCTAGATGGTGGACAGTTTGGCAAGGTGAGGTGGAAGCTTGTAATATATGCTGTCGACAGCGACTCGTCATCCCTGCAAACACAAACGTAATTGTCCCTATTTTCCACTTGTTACAACTTGTAATAAAGTTATTACATCTTGTTATAGTTTTTATGACGTATTAGAACGTTGTTACAACTTGCTATATTGGTTGTTAATACTTGTTAGGAGGTGTTAAAACTTGTTCAAATGTCGTAGATTTGTTGTGTGTTTGGCGGGATCAGTCCAAACTCCAAGAGTGGTTCAATACACACTTGAGAGAAACCACACATATTTAACACCATCAACATTCACCAGCAACAATGTAACACTCAACCAATCCAGTTCCTACCATCACAAGATGCTTCAGCCTCGCTACAGAGCAGACAGCTGGATTACAGCCACATTGAGCTTCCACGCTCTCGTCCTGCACTCGAGCTCTTAGACTGTGCCCCGCATTCAGAGCGCCACGCTCTACACACTCACCCAGCATCCGAGCTCTCCACCATCAGCCTCACTCAGCTCTATGCCCTACTCTGGGCTTCATCTCAACCATTTTGACACTTCATATATTGCCAAACAAACTGCTGTAACCAAAACTAAATTTAAAAAACACTAAATTCTTTGTGGTTAATCAACCAAATACGTACACACAATCATACGTTATAACTATAAAGTGCTGCTGCCCGAAACGCTGTGTGCGCTAGTGGAAATATCTGCGCCCAATAATGCTACGAGTGCTGTCGGGTGTTAAGTGTCTGTAGATCTCACGTAGATCTCAGTGAGATTTCCCAACACATTAGACTGTTGCTGGCTGAGTGTTTACAGCACTGGACTGCCAGGGGGGGGGGGGGGGGGGAGCATGGAGACTCTGGCAGACCGAGTTCGAATCCTTCGGGGGTCAAGAGTTTTTGAATGTATATTGGCTTGGGGACCATTCAAGCTTTACGCCCATAAAGGATTTGGAGATCAGGTGCTGATATCTAAAGATACTGAAGTACTAGTTTAAGATAACCTATTGGATGTTATTAGAATCATAGCTTATTACCCTTCTCTGTACTTGAAGTGCTTGAATGCAATATCTTCAATGTGTCGCACTAGATCATCATGGCCCGGGTGAACTGCCAGTTGCCTCAGAACTTCAATTAGTACCAAGCAGAATATAAACTCCACTGCAAGGTCTCGACGTTCCTGTATAGTTTCCCTGTCCACATTTGAGCCTGCATCTACCCTGTAATGACAAAAATATATCATTATATAAAAATGTTATTATTAACCTTTAGACAGCGGTTATTGTCACATGTTGATTCATTAGGGGAATGCTGTTATGTATCATCACATGAAGATTTAAACAATTATTGTCTGGGTTTTACACATAAGATGCAAATAACGAACAATGTAGCACAAAAATTAAGGTGAGAAAACAAACAAGTATACACATTTAGGCATCGCCGCACGCTCGCCTGCACCATTAGCCCCATTACGTCAAAGTCTGCGGTGCGCGCGTTGTGTGGGCGATAGTGTTAAAATATAAAACTATTTGAACATAAATAAAATCTTGGCTAGACATTTAATTTACCTCCTGTAAAAAAACTTACCCCTTGCTTTTACTGGGATCTTGCTTATACTTGCTGTCAGTAGAACCCCATTCCACTCCCTGACGATCGTACCAAGCAAAAAGTGTACGCAGGAGCGATGGCAAACAGTGCTCAGCAACACAACCAAAGGCAAGCAGTAACTGGTCAAATGTAGGATCTTCTCCACGCTGCAGACTCTTGGATAGGCTACGTTCCTGGTGCAAGACATACATCAACAATATTTATTTGCCTCATCAATATATAAACCAACTGCAAAGCTATTCTGATGGCTACTACTGAAGACTAACTAATATTAACACATTCAATGTATTATGATTATTTCAAATCAAGGGAAACAAAATCCTTCCCATCTAATTCTCCTTCTCCTTACCAGCAGCTGACGTACTACACATGTAATAGAATATTAAAATGCAAAGTTCTTTAGTAAGATTTTGAAGTGTTATCAAAGTTTTTAACATGTGTGCTTGAATGTTTTAAACACATGGCTAACCCCAGGCTCAAAAGTGAACAAGAAATCTCAAATATTCCCCACAACAATGCATCAATCCTTTCAAACAGATATACTATTAATTTTTCAATTGGAACATAATCTGAACAATAAATGTTTGTTATATTTTGTTTGCAGTCATTAAAAGTCAACAGAATATTTGAAATTTTGTAAATCTGATATAATATTGCTTAAATATAGTATTTTCATAGAACAATTATTAATGTGAAAACACACACACAGCAGACATCTTTAACTTTGAATTTGATATGTATTCAGAAATTTATGCACTGGAAATTCATAAGAATGTCAGCTTATATAATTAAAAAATATATATGTATGGTGTCTAATGGAAGCTGTTGTCCAAGGTATATGACAAGCTAAATGTTAAACTATTAATTCTTAAATAATTCCCATTAATATTAGTGCCTAAATAACAAATATTTTTACTTTTAAATTCCTATATTATACTGAACTAAAGAAACATTACAAACTTACATGTATATATATATATATGTTTTTGGCATTTAACGAAAGAACAACATATTACAATACAATATATGGTTTTATATATAGCAATAACCAAAGTTATCTTGAGACTAAATTACGTACTATAGGTTCCTGCATAACAGTTTCAATCTTCTTCTCTGCCATTACAGTATATTCCGCAAAGAGAGTTCGCATAACAAATTCTCCTGGTCGTAAGTCGGTGTCAATGTGGACAGTGGCAGGAAACTGAGCTCTCTCTTTGCGGGCACCCCAGGGTAAGAGCGTCGAGCCGTGACTCCCAGTGCTGCTCCCACCTCCGCCACCACCATTGTTTTCTGTACTGGAATCTAAATTAGAACAATTATGAAATATCAATGATATCTTTATTAACTATTTTTAGTTTTATATAAATGATAATCCAAAATAAACTCAAAACACATCTCTAATAAACTATCTCTCAAAGTGAATAATTAAATATGAAAATAAGATTGTAAAAGATTATTTAAAGTAGTGAAAATTAATGCTATTAAAATCCATTGACATTTGAGAGAGAAAAACATTTGTCCATTTGAAAACTTAACTAACTATAGACTAATCATCACTATCCTGAACATATATAAATCAAAGATAAAGGAGCCATACTAAAACATCTTATAACATAGCATAAACGTAACATAAATTTCAATATCTGAATCCATCTTAATAATAAAATTCTCTGTACAATGCAAGGAAGAAAAATGATCACATCTCGCTCTAATTGTGTAGACTCGTATTAATCTAGTACAGTACTATGTCGGCATTTGGATATCTACCAATATTTTATGTAAGTCACAGCAGGAAGACTAAGCATGTCTTTTGTGCAACCTTTGATTTAATCTGAATTTACATCAATGAGTAATCCTATTTTTCTATTGTTACTGACAAATTTGAGAAGAAACTTCTAAATAAAAATATTCATAAATGTAGTCATTAAGCTTAAGACATTGTCAACTTGCTACCTAAACAGTACACAAAAATACACAAATGAATAAATGTTAACCATTCTGCAAAAATCATTTAGGAACGTATCTACATCACTTTTAATTTTCTTTAACAAAGCTTCAATAATTTTACAAAATAAAAGATTGTAACATTTAATTTTAGTTAATTAGGGAACAATGAATTCGTTGTCACCTAATTTGCATCAAGCAGCAACCTTGCGTTCACAAGGAAATGCTGACTTTCTTCACTTCTGAAAATTAAAATATTGAGCCAAAAGTATAAGAAGTCAACCTTCTCCAACACTAATACCAAAGTTTCCTTAGTTAACAACAGAAAAATTGCTATCAAATGTTGTTTGTAAATTAGTACGAGTCACAACTCGGTAATAGACAAAGGCAACAATGGACAATTTCTCTTCAACGTTCTCTTCACAAACCCTGCATAACTTAATAAGGAGGTCAAGGGAATAAATAAGTGATGGAACTATTACCCGACATAATAGTGTGCGAGCGCTCAGAAAGAGGCTCAGCAGAGTTAACCCCACTTTCGTGAGCAGCAGATAATTGGTCATTTTCATCATCACTGTTAATTTCGGTAAGCTCGTCTTGCCCAGCCTCTCGACCATCGCCAGGTCCTCGTTCCCCAACATCTTCACCATCTGCAAAAAGAGTAACAAGATATCAACCCGTACAAAATTAACTGTATCTGTAGACTTGAGCCTTTGGCAATAATACTGATGATAATACTATAATACTGAGTTTGTTTGCCCATGCCTTCAACTTCTTCATGAACATCGATTGAATGGCTATGACACCTCTATCAAATGGGTCCCAGCGCATTGTGGTATACTCCATAATGAACTTGTAGATCAACTGGCCAAAGCGATGAACAACATGCCTTACATTACCCATCATCCAATTCCTCATGTTGCACGTAAAAGGAGCCTTCAAAGATGCCATCACCCAAGATTTTGTAATGAAATGGAAGATGTCATGCTCATCTTTGTACTGTGTCCATTAAAAAGAAATGAGAAAATTGGAAACATGTCAGATATAATAGCAGAAAAATTGATGAAACGACGGCCAGATTAAGCTGGGACACACCAAACTGGCAGCACACAGTTCTAAATACAGAACAGATATCAACGAACTCTGCGTCCACTGTCAGGTGCCAGAAACAATCGAACACTATCTCCTTCACTGTTTCCGACATCATAGTGCCCGAGTAAACTTCAAACAAGTATTTATTGCACTTAAAATATTCCTTACCATCGAGCATATATTAGGAGGTGACCTCTCGTTACATGAAAAAAACATCAAATAGTTTATCTTGAGTTTATCTTGAGATGATTTCGGGGCTTTAGTGTCCCCGCGGCCCGGTCCTCGACCAGGCCTCCACCCCCAGGAAGCAGCCCGTGACAGCTGACTAACTCCCAGGTACCTATTTACTGCCAGGTAACAGGGGCATTCAGGGTGAAAGAAACTTTGCCCATTTGTTTCTGCCTCGTGCGGGAATCGAACCCGCGCCACAGAATTACGAGTCCTGCGCGCTATCCACCAGGCTACGAGGCCCCTTTAGTCAAAGCATTAGCTAAATATCTCCAGTCTACCAACAAATTGGGCCACATTTGACCCATGCCACATTTATACCTGGCACCACCAACAGCCAAACACAGAAAACAACTGCCTCGCCACAGCACGAAGGATCAGCTGACACCATAAACACAACATCCTGCACTACAGTGCAGTAAGTCTCCCTCTAACACACCTCCTCTGTTTTAGTCCCCGCTCTTCTATCTACAGAACAACACAACTCTTTTTGAAACCTTATCATTCTCAATGTAAACGCCTCTCCCAACATTTGTACCCGTGCAGTCATCGGGAGGATAAAGCCTTCATGCAAACTGCACATACCATCAAGAAGAAGTTGCTTGTTGGGTTTCTTTCTAGAGGAGTTATTTTGATCATTTCCGATGTAGATTGCACAGGTTAACCAGACAGTGGTCTTTTTTGATTCACCTACCTTTTTGGGTCCTTCCCCAGTCGATGACAATTATGACATACTTTAAATGTAAAGTTCTCATAGGCCATTGCTCCCTTCACCTCTCTGAGGGGACCAGGTTCTGGCTCATGGTCCATGGTAGGCATAAGGACTCCTGTGACTGATGACTCCAGACTAATATAGCACATATCAGTTCGGAAAACTTCAGGGAGCCGACGGGGTTCCCCACAGAAGAGGCCCAAAGATACTGCTGCCGAGAAGATAAATGGGACACCATCAATTCAGCCACCGTCTTGCTGTAGAGATGGCAATAAAGACACTCAAAAATACCAGACTTATAGAGCCGAGAAATTCAAACTAGCGAGGTACAGTACATGTCGGCATACATCACCGAGTCGATCTTCTGAAAGAGGCAAAGCTGCGGAAAAGCGCCTGGGTTTGGACACGGAGCATGAAGTGCTTGAAACCAGGGCTCAGCCTGCTATCAACACATCCCGTCCTCCTAATGTCAGGAAAACGATCAATACACTTTCGAGCTCTCGCGGCGCTCAATAGCGTTACCAATTTTCTTTTGAGTCCGCGTAACGGACTCGCTCATTAGTCACGAGAAAAAATATTTCCATAAAATCCATTTTTTATCCGATCGACTTTGGGATAGTTTAAAAGTCTTCGCCATGAAATTTCCGTTTTCCCTAATAGCTGCATAGCCTATTTGGGAGAACGGCATGGCATTGCATCATCGTGGTAAGACAATTGTATTGTTGACACGACGGGTGTAATCGACGTAGTTTTTTATTTGGTGCCGGTCTAACGCATCCTTGTGTGACATTTTATACTTATATTCTTCTAGAACATTCTATTGCGAACACATTGGTACAAAAATTAAATACGTACATCGAAAATTAATGTCAGAACAGTGAAAAAGAGTATACAATTTTCAATAGGGGTCTCGCCGATGTGCAGTCACGGGTAACACTTCGGCCACTTCCCACACTCTTGCGAGTGGGCTGTGACATAGATTCTACATTTACATGCATATGTCCGCGTAGGGAATTTTATTGCGATCTTGGTGATATCAAATAGGACAAGATACACTGTAGGACAAGTGTGGAGTTGACAACCCTGAAAAAGAGTAGAAACATTTCGTCGCTGTTTGGCGCTCACGGCTAGTGATCGACGTAGTTCTTTATTTGGTGCTGGTCTAACTTATGCTTTAGTGACATTTTATAATTATGTTCTTCTATCTAGAACATTCTATTGCAAACACATTGGTACAAAAATTAAATAAGTACATCGAAAATTAATGTCAGAACAGTGAAAAGAGTACATATACACTTTTCTGTGTTGCTGCTCGATCGCCTGAAACGCCGCGCACATGGGCAAGTTTTTTCTTGCTTGCCAGGAGCGCGAAAGGGTTAAAGTGTCCTCTCCTAACCTACCAGAGGACCCAAAACAGAAAACGGGACAGTACATCACTTTCGCGAGCCGCTTCCATTTTCAAGGACAACAATTTTTGGTCTTATGTAATCATACAATCGAAAAGAAACAAGAACAGCCTCCAAAGTCACACCATGCTCAGCGTGAAACCACACATGCAAATTACAGGCTCCAACACAAACACTCGAGTAACCAGCAAGTCATCGAGGCTACCTCAACACCAGCAGACGACGGCACTTTTCAGTTACCCAATCAAAGACTTTATTTATATCTGCTTGTAGTTTTTCAGCGTCTTCTACAGTGTCAATTTTCATGCTGATTTTTGTATCTGCAAAGGATGACACGAAGCTGTGGCTAGTATTTTTGTCTATATCCGAGATAAGAATAAAAAATAGCAGTGGTGCCAGGACTGTGCTGTGAGGTACAGAGTTTTTCACTGCTTGATACCTGCTTGACGGGGTTCTGGGAGTTCTTCTACTCCCCACGCCTGGCCCAAGGCCAGGCTTGACTTGTGAGAGCTTGGTCCACCAGGTTGCTGCTTGGAGCAGCCCGCAGGCTCACAAACCCACTACAGCCCGGTTGATCTGGCACTTTTTTTTAGAGAACAATCTAGTTTTCTCTTGAAGATGTCCACAGTTGTTCCGGCAATATTTCTTATACTCGCTGGGAGGATGTTGAACAACTGTGGACCTCTGATGTTTATACAGAGGACTCTGATTGTGCCTATGGCACCTCTGCTCTTCACTAGTTCTATTCTGCATTTTCTTCCTTATCGTTCACTCCAGTACGTATGTTGTTATTTTACGGTGTAGATTTGGGACTTGGCCCTCCAGTATTTTCCATGTGTATATTATTTGGTATCTCTTTCTAGTTAGTACATTTGGAGAGTTTTGACACGATCCCAATTATTTAGGTGCTTTATCGCGTCTATGCGTGCGATATATGTTCTCTGTATTCCCTGTATTTCAGCAATCTCTCCTGCTCTGAAGGGAAAAGTGAGTACCGAGAAGTACTCGAGACAGGACAGCACAAGTGATTTGAATAGTACAACTATTGTTATGGAATCCCTGGATTTTGAAGTTTTCGTAATCCATCCTATCATTTTTCTGGCTGACGCAATATTTGCTTGGTTATGTTCCCTAAACGTTAGGTCGTCGGACATAATTATTTCGAAATCCTTGACATGCTGTTTACCTACTATGGGCAGATTCAATTGTGTTTTGTACCCTGTATTCAGATCAGGTATTTCAGATCCTCATTTTTGCCGTACCTGAGTACCTGGAATTCATCACAGTTAAACATCATGTTATTTTCTGCTGCCCAATCGAAAACACTGCTCTTGGGCTTGATCTTACTTGATTGACTGTCACTCTCTGCACTCTGTTTGACAAAGTTATAACTCCAATGCCCCATTTTTCCCGTTATTCCTATTGATTTCATTTTATGGGCTATCACTCCATGGTTACATTTGTCGAAAGCCTTTGCAAAGTGTGTGTATACAACACCTGCTCTCTGCACCTCTGTGAGGGAGTCAGGTTGTTGCTCTGATGTGAGCTCCACGGCTGATATGACCAAGTAGGTCGGAAGGCATCTCATCAAGATGTCTTCACAGAGCCACAAGGGGTCCCATGCCCCCCCAAGAAACATTATGTTTACTTTAGGCACCACACATGATGTTTGTATTTTACAAACAGTATTTTACAAACATCAGTTAGTCTTTCCATAAAGTATAGAGTTAATTTTGTCATAATTGTAGATGTACTAAGGATGAACAAGGGGACAGGAGGCCTGGTATGTGGGTGCATACATAAACAAATGAGAATTCAGTATAAAAGTACTTACAGGTTATCACAGTATGGAACATTTGTTTCGAGTCATCTAACTCCAAGAGAAGTACGTGCTGCAAATGCCAATCACTTACCTATGGTTTCAAGTGGTTCTTGTAAGCAAGTATCACTTGAATTTATAATGCGATACATTGCATTTGTCATCTTTCTAAGAGGATTTGCAGCAACATTATATGTTTGTCGAAACATTATGCAAACCGATTTCAAGCAAGGACTACATAAAGCAAATGCCTAATTATTAGCCATAATCAGTGACAATTGCCTTTTTTCCTTATATATAATTTATATTTCTGATTATACCAAGATATTACCAACTTTACACCAGACTATGTAAAAAACACAAGATATATTCAAATGGCCACTATCACTGATG